TAACTTCCTACACCACAAAGACTCCATGAGTAATAGTCCTGACGCATTCTATTAATTATCCTGGTAAAGAAGAAGAAGAACCATCTCCCTTTGTTTGTTTCTATCTATAGTGGGAAACAAAGTGAGTTGTTTAGCATAAAAACACAACCTGTCCCTGTAATGGGACCCTCCTGCCTTCCATTTTTTAAAATTCATCCTTTGTAGTGTAGGAAGTTAAAATCCATCCCTCTCCTAGAAGAATGAAATATCCTAGGAAATATTGAAAAGGCAGAATATTATATTTCCCTGGATGTGACAAGGGAAAAAACATGTTTTAAAGACAAAGAAGCTCCCTGCAGCTTCCTGATCATCCCCCTTTGTCAATGGGCCATTAAGATGCCCAAGCCAGTGTATTCTACATAATAAAGAATTCTCCCCTTCAGCGCTCTCTCTCTCTCTCTCTCTCTCTCACTGTCTCTCTCTCTCACTCACTCACTCATTTCAGACCATGGAGTTCAGTTCACCACCACGTTCTGGAGAGAGTTCCTGCGATCTTTTGGGCCCACAGAAGGACTCAGCTCAATGGTTCATCCCAGCATGAACCGCACAGCAGAGAGGGCCAATGCGATGGTGGAACAATACATCAGGTGTTACATGGACTATCAGCAAGACAATTGGTCGGACTTGCTACCCTTCGCTGAAGTGGCGTATAACAACATGGTCCACAAGTGCACTGGATTAACTGCTTTCTAAATTACCAGTGGCATGGAATTTGTTGCCATGCCTGAGCTGTCTAGAGAACGTCCCTCCTCCATGTCTCTGAATGAATGGATGGACATGCTAAAAAAACGATGGGAAAATACGAAGAAAACTCTAGCAGATGCGGCGGAAGCCTATAAGAAGCAAGCTGATAAGCATCGCTCGCTCCAACCCCCCTTTCGTGTGGAGGACAAAGTTTTTATATCTACCAAATACATAAGATTAAGTCCATGAGAAGTTTCCTGACAAGCCAAAGGGTCCCCCTGTGGGAGGAAGAGGTGATTAATTCTGTTACATTAACCCCTATGTTGTTCTTTTTTCAGGAAACGTTTTTCTTCTGAGGAGAGGCTGCCTGTCAGGCCTGCAGCTGGTTCCTTTTAGGATCTTTGGCCTGCCACCCTCTCTATTATTTTACAATGCTTTCTGAGATCATGAGAGCATGGAACCTATCAAGGCCACCACAGTATGCTTTCTTAACCGAAGAACTCAGAAACTCTCAGATTTCATATAGATGGGAAGTCCCAGCTGGTATTACAGTTACATTTGGNCGCGCTGGCTGTTGTCACCCTGTTGATGACATCAGCGACGCGATTTAATCGGGCGCGCTTTAGTCAAGTGTGGTTTTGTCGTGCCACGGTAGAGCACGACTTCTAATACTGCAGCAGATCTTTGATTATTTTCTGGTATTATAAGCACTTGGACTAACATATTCTATTTTCATAAATCTAGCAGAGATATACTGAATCTTAGAATTAGTTCCCTCTCTGCAGATCTGCTATCCTTTGCTTTACTAAGAGAGTATTTTTTTGAAGTGAATATGTTCAGCTAAACTCAAAGAAGAATTTGGAAACTATTCAAACTTCCTGGCAAAATTTTGCAAATTAATCTAAAGGTTATTTAATCTAAATAATCTAAATTAATCTAAAGGTTATTATTTCTTTTTTATTAGAGCCATACAGAAAGTTTTTTTAAATGTTAGAAAGTTATTTAAAATGCTGCGTAATCCAAGTGAAGATGTTTCTTGAAACTTGTAAATTTGTAAACACAAATTTACAAAAATCTGATGAGGTTTGAAAAAAACAGAGATGTCTCTTTTGTGGCCAATACTTGGAATGTTTCCCCTCAAAATTCAGCAGAAGAACACAAAGTGGTTTCACTTGTCAGAATGATTAATATACTCTGGTGGTTTGGCTAATTTCCTACTCAAATAATGGCATAAACCCTGTCTGAATTCCTGTAGGAGCTTACTCCACTTTCCTTCCTGCCACATTTTGTTATGTTGGAACTAGCAAGCAGCGTTAAACAAGAATCATTTTTCACCTACAAGACTTTGCAGCTCGTAAAATGATATCCCTCCAGAGGCACCTGATCCGGTAGAATGATTAAGCCTGATAGATGTGCAATTTAATTTTATGGTTCCTTAACAAGGAGAGCACTGTGGGCTCACACCAGCACTTGACACCCAAACCCATATATGATTTGAGTGTAAGAGATTTCCCAGACAGGCATATTACCAAACATAAAGATACGTACAGTTAAAAAAAATGGTTCTCTAATCCAGCATTTGTGATATCAATGGGAAATCCATAAATGCACTAATACGGTATTTATCAACCTCAAGCTAGCTGGGGAATTCTTGGAGTTGAAGTCCACAGATCTTAAAGTCTCCAAGATTGAGAAACACTGCGATAACATCAAGCGGTTCACCGACAAATGCGCGCTCGACAAAAGCGCGACGACGAAACCGTGGTGAGAAAACCGTGAGTTCTAAATCGCGCCAACGAATGAGCGCAGAAGCGCGCCGACAACAGCACGCCGACAAAAGTGTGCCTTCAACAAACAAGTAATAACCACGAGTTCTAAACCTAACCCTAACCCTAACCCTAACCCTAAACCTAACCCTAAACCTAACCCTGAACCTAACCCTAATCCTAACCCTAAACCTAACCCTGAACCTAACCC